AAAAATCTAAATAGAATTTTAACTTGTTTTTATAGTATCTACAACTATAATAGCAATACAAGGGTCTTGCATTGCAATTAGGCTCTGCGGCTGTGGTAGCAATGCAAAAACCTCATAGTGTGATTAGGCTCTATTGATTATAGTTATTGTATGGGTATGTGTGAATAACCCAGTTACACACAGGTTCATATTCCGTGCTGAAGGCACGGGATTTAAATATGAACCCGTGTGTGTAACTGGGTTATTCATATACCCATATAATAACTATCTTATTGCATGGTGTCTGACGTAACAATCCTGTGCAATAACCAAATGAAAAAAGCACGAGTTGTTACATAAGACCCGTACAATAACTTCTAGTTATGGGTTCAGTTACAAATGGCTACAATTATTCATAGTCAATTTTCAAATATTGAGTGATTTTTTTTCTTTGAGCTTTTAATTTAAATTGTTTAGAATTAAATTCTGTTCATCCCATCTTATAAGTGGAAAGAACGAAACTTTCTCTTAAACTAAGAATTTTAAAATTTGTTAATGTGATATCTGATAATAACTGATAGCTAATAACTAGTTATAACATTATGTAATTTGAAATTATGTTCTAGAGAAGGTATCATTCTTTCTACTTATAAGATAAGATGAATAGAATTTAATTCTGATGAACTTTAATTAAAAGCTCAAATAGAAAAACAACTATGGGTATCTTGCCTCTTTTACTTTCGTACTATAGCTACTAACAGTACAGAATTTGAGAGTATCATAAAAATAGCTATTCACTTTGTATACTACTATGAGGCAACTTTGGTGAGCAAGGCAAAAAAAACCAGAATTCTTCAGAAAAAAATCCCACTACAACCAAAAGGAAAACTTTGTAACTGTCATCCTGACAGGCCACTTCTTACCCCAAATTTAAATCTCAAAAAGTGATAGTTATCTCAACAGGCCACTTTTTGCTAAAAACTTAACTCAAAAAACATAACTATCGCCCCGACAGGTCATATACTGCAATACTCAAAACTCAAAAAGTGACTGTTGTCCCAACAGGCCATTTTGTACTAAAGCTTAAACTCAAAATGTGACTATCATCCTGACAGGCCATCTACTACAACAATCAAAACTCAAAGCATGACTGTCATCCCGACAGTCCACTCTCTGCAAAAAAAGCAATAAACAGCTAAGCAACAGTTATCGTCTTTGATAGCCAAGCTTCGATAGACAATGCTAGGGCCGGGTATGGTGGGGCAAAAAAACTGGGTTCATGTCATTTGCCCTACAACAATTTGCCTGACAGCTATTTGTTTAATAATATTTTTAAAAAATATTACTAAAAAATTATTGTTAGGCAAATTGTTGTAGGGCAAATGACATGAACCCAAAAAAACTAAACAAAGTCAGGTTAGCAAAAAAAACAGAAATTACCTTTTCTGGGAAAAAACTCACTTCTCTTAAATACTACTAATGATTACTAATCACAAAAACAAAAGGAAAAAGACATCATTATCAGATCACACAATGCATCAAGCATTAAATCACAACAATAATCTCATATCAACATCAATACGATAGATCAAACAAAGCATCAGAACGATCAACCCGTTACCAATTTGAGACAAAAGGCTGCTCTGATACTTTCGTATCGGGCAGCTAATAAGTTTCAAAACTCGCAAAATCGTAAAATTTTGTTTATAAAACTAGATTTCCTGTTCTAATAAAAATGTATTGTAAATTTTAGCATAATTTTATATCCTGTTAAACCTTTATACTATTCATACATACTATTATTTGATTGAATTGAATATGCCTAATTGAAAGCAAGATTCGATGCATCCAATAGAATAATTTTAATTCAAATAATGCATATTTTAAAATAAAGCCAAATACAGTTTTATTAATATAATAAATTCATATATTTGATGTTAATAATTAAATATGTTTTAGAATATATTAAAAACAAAATTGAAAGAGTATATAATAAACAACAAAATAATCTAGTAATAATAGTTACAGAAATAAAACATATAACTGTTTTTTAATACAAGACAGGTCTGTTTTCGGATCTCCAGGATTAGAAACTAATAATAAAATATAATAAAATAAAATTATTATTTTCATAATTACTGTATTTTATAGAACTTTTTTAAAAAAATAGTACATACTTTTAATTAACATGTTATACAAAATTGTGGTATTTCTAGAGTCATCTGGGCGTGGTTTAACATACAAAGAAGTAATATACTTAAACTCTCCAGATATAACAGGACACTTTTTGCTATTTGTTTTAACAAATTCATTACAAATATCAAAAATATTCTCAATTGTTTTTCCTTGATACTTTGTTGTGAAGTTTATTGTAGTCCCTTCTTGTACTGATACTATATTTATTCCTGTGAAAGTGATTGTCACATTTTCACTAGAGATTATAGAATTAGGTTCATGAAAGTATGTAATAATTTCATTTGGAAATGAACCTTCGTATTTAGTAAAGTTTGAGTGTATATTACGTCGAAAAGTTAATAAAAAAGATATAGTAAATGTGATAAGAGTCAAGAATATCAAAAGGGCAAAGGATTGATGCATCGATACTATTTAATAATTCAAGAAAAATAAGAAATTTTTTGTAGTTAAAGATTTAATGCAATTGAAAGAATAAGGTCAGATAGATCAAATACTTTATATACTTTCAAGTTTAATTTTTACTTAGGCCTACCGAGTAATTGACTGTGAGGCAATTATTTGGGGTTTGCAAAATTTGCAAATCGTCAAAAAAAGAGAATCACAAAGAAATCACTAAATTTTAATGATTTCTGACAACTTATAATTTTAGCATTTTGTAATTTACCACTGTAGCGATACATCACTAGTCCCTATCATGTGATTGTCATTGTATTATAATTTTTTTAAAAAAAGCAATGCATATTTTATAATTTATCGCTATAGCGATATGCCGCTACTCTAATAAATCCTATATACAGAAGTTTGAATAACTTGCAGTGATACTTATAAATTATTGATTTATTGGCTAGCGATACAATGCTATAGTGATAAATGAAAGCTCCCATCAAGGGAAAATAATATTCAAGTAATTCGGTTTGACACTTATTATAATGTATAACTCGATATTGCTCACAATAAATCTGAATTTTTTTGCAATAAATGAATTCTAATTTTACTTGCAATTTATGTCTGTGTTATACAGAAACTCATTATTCAGTATTTTGATCTAAAAATAATTCAAGCATATTGCTTTAACAATTTAATGCAACATTCATGTAGCATCGATTACGATTCCCAACATAATATAATAACATTTAACAGACTTTAAATATTCTATAGCAGATTTGCCATAGACCAATACTATATAATTGCTATGCTAAATTTGTCATAGCAATATGCTCTGGTATTATTTCTGGATCCAGTGATATAAATATATATAAATACAGTAAATGAGAGATAATGGCAATAATAAATGCAGAAATAATCAGTTTATCTTGCAATTTTTTTGATAATGGCCCATATTGCCACATTTCTTGCATCAACGTTGATGTTTAATTTTAACTCTTTGACTCTCATGTGAAAACTTAAGTCTTTTTGTACTAAGAGATTGTCCCCTCCATGATGTTTCTTTTGATTTTTCAGCTTAGATATCATAGAATCTTTGTTATTATTATTATCAATTTGTGAACTTTTGTCTGAATCTGACTACTTACTAATATCTTCAACAAAATCTTGAAGAAGACTGATAATTGTTGCGATTTCAATTCATCTTAAAGCATCTTATTAAGGGCTTTTTTATAAATACTATGCAACTCTCTATAAACAGTCTTTTGTTCAAGAATAGTTAGATTACCTTCACCGAAATCTTTTCCACCTTGATCAAAAGTGCACAAATATGTTACTGTACTATTTAAATCCTGTGTTAACATTATGTTTTGATCATCAAATTTATCTGCATACAAGAATAGCTTCTCTGAACCATCTTTATTTTTGCTATACTATCGAGTTGGAATTAACCTAACATGAAATATGCATTCTTTGTAGCTAGCATCACTTGGAAAAAATATCTACAAACAATTCCATGTTGAATTATAGAAAGACAAGAACAGAGGTGATCTCGATTTTGTAACAAAACAATATAGTGTTTAGTTTGCAACGAGTTTCCAACATTTACAAACCAAATTTTATTGATATTGTGTGAACCAACAAATTCGATCATTCTTTTTAATGTTGCTTGTAGAGTGTCAGTGTCGATGGTCATTTTACTTTCAGATACAGTTTTATCCTATTATAGCATTGTTAATTCAATTTCATTAATATAACAAACACAGTTCAAATTTAGCAAAAATCTTTGATTATTTTTAAAATTTGATATATCCTTTATTTAACAATTTGTCTTCGCATTACCAACCAAATTTCATGAGTTAATTAATTATTAAAATCGGTATAGTTCAAAAAAATCAAATAATAAAAAAACTCAGCTTTGTACTTATAAAATTATGCATATTAGCAAAAGTATTCTTGCAAAATTTTGATTTTCAAATCCAATAAAGAACTAATCTCAATAAAATTAGATTGGTAATACTACGGCTTAATACAATATAAAAATTTTTGACTATTAACCAACTAAATTAATATAGTTAGATTTTTTTATACTGGCTAGTAACTAAATAATTGCTTTGGCAAGAAATTGAAAATACAAATGCCAAATTCTAACAAAACCCAAGATTAGCACCACGATTTAATTAATAAATGATTACTTACTATATCTATATTATCAAAACAAAATTTGCAATATAATAAAGTGTCTGGTTCATTTCATCACCGTGCATCTTCAGCAGATAGGTCGTAAGATATTTCTGAAGACACTTGTCAATTTTAGAAAACAAAAAATTCACATTGTGCTCATTTTGTATAGTAGGTATAGATAATCTCCAAAATTTGTATTCATTTTCCTTATCTTGTAAATCAAGCAGCCTGTTGATTTCTTTAATTAAATCACACAATTAAATATTTGAGTTAAACAACAGATGCTTCAAGCATCCATTCACAGATTCCACATGAGAAGTTGCTATCATGCCACCAGTGAACTGAAAACTAGTAAAGCAATGTGCCCAATATGTCTTTGATATATATAGAAACTCCAGGTAATTTTGAGCATTAGGATAGTATTCTGTAAGCTTTTCATATCTTTGTTGGAAATCATCTTCGACAAGGCTATCACGACACAAATAAAAATCATTTAAAAATTTTTGATAAACATTACTCAACACTTTTCTAAGATTTTTATGTAAGTTCTGGGTTAAATGAAAAGTACAATGAATGGGATAAGTAGAAAAAAATATTTGATGAATAGCAGAATCCACTGCCGGATCTGTGTCAGTAAGAATAGTACCTGGATTAATGATTAAAAACTATTAGCAAACAATTAATTATTGTCGCTCTTTGCAAAATATTGGTTTGAATCTTATGAATTCTATTATTACTAATGTTAAATCAATAATAATATACAAAATTTATAGGGCGCATAAAAATTATTCATTGTAATTCTGTACATTAACATTTTTTTAATAGAAATATGTGAGTCTGTATTATTTCACCAACAATCACTTCAGATACACCACATTTCATTGACAATTATTTACTGTCAAGTTCATTTTACCAAATGTCATTTTCACTGAAACTCATTTTACCGACAAGCTTTTTTTTTATAAATTACACTAACTTTAACTCTAATTCTAGTCTAACCCTAATAATATTAACCAGAATTACTTTGTCCGTAAAATGAACCTCAGTGAAATAAACTGTCAGTGAAATGAACTTGTTGGTAAATAGTTGTTAGTGAAATGTAATGTCTATGAAGTGATTATCAGTGAGTTAATTGGATTCCTTAATATATGTAGACTAAAAAGTAATACTAATTTAAATACTAACCCGGATGCACACTAGTTGCTTCTAATAACTTATTAAATAACCAAATATGTGACTCAATAGTTTCATCAGCTAAAAAACCTTGAGCAAGCAAGATATTGTGATGGTTATTATTGAATCCCACAAACAGTGACAAGGCCATGCCATATCTATTGGTTTTGTGGGTTATATCATTAAAGATGCAGTCTGAATACTGGATCTTGTTTTCAATCTGCAAAGGTGTCATCTAAAATAAATGGGTTAACACATTATCATCATCCCATCCACGTGCTATAAACTACCGAGGATCTTGTTCTTTCTGATTATCAAGCCAATTTGAGACTTGAGCTACATTATTTGATAATGTTTATATGTTGGGTGAAATTTGCTAATAGCAGCATAGAGATCTTTTGAGTAAATGGGCTGTAATAGAAATTTACATTCAAGAAATTTCCTTTGAGCAGTTGCACCAATCTTGCATGATACTGTCATGAATTTAATATCATTCATCATTTTATCTGTAAATTTCTTTGACTCTTCAATCTTAATCATCGATCCATTTAGTTCATGATTATGCTCATCTATAATTTTTGTAATAAATACCAAAGTATTGGGATTATTAGCTTTAGAACAAGAAGCATTAACTAAAAAGTAGCATCCTATTTTTTTTGAATCAGTATTCTTCTTCGAGTTTGATTCATAATTTTGACCATGTATACATATAAATGCTCGTCGTCGAACCACATTTTCTTTACGATGTACCCAGTCTTTAACTATGCGAAACCCTTTTTCTTTGGCCTATTCTTTCAAAAATGATTCACAACTTCCCCAATTTGTGAATGTTTTTTCTACGTATAAAGTACTGTGTTCATATTCACTAGAAGATACTAGAGACACTAACACATTATTAAAAAAAAATAACTCTTATAACATCAATAAAATGATGTTATGTCAAATACCTGTAGCATTTTGTTTTAACTTATTTTGCAAAACTAATTCTAAAATTGGTTCATCCATGTCTTGATTCAAAAAAAAGAAAAGGTTAGAAGCTGCAAAATTAGTTAATTATAAGAAAAAGAATTATATAATACTTATCTATTACATAGCATTGCCGACAGTAAGGTAATTATAAAATCATATTTAAGTCAGGATGACTTGATTTTATATGACATGTTAATTTCCACATATTCGATATTACATGTGATCATCAATTAAAAATTAAAATATTTTTAACTTAGTTTTTTAAGAGTATAGCGTTTTATTGCTATAGCGATAAATTATAATATTCAAAATTTTATTGCAGTTTGCATAATTTTGACCCATAATTGATTAGTTTTTTTTTATGATTAAATGATTGTGATTATGATCGCGATTGCTAAAGCCGGTCAATTTATCATGAATCCGAGTTTGTGTCAAAGCTCAGATTTATGTTATAGTGGTTTGCAAAAAGGTGTGAACTCTGCAGATCATAATGTCATGTAAAATCACGATAAATCAGCCGATTCTAGTGGATATTTCAATTCTAAAAGAATTTTAAAGATTCCGAATAACATATTGTTGTGGATTAAATTTGAGCGTAGTAAATCTATCCATGTATTTTTTTTATTTTATTTCACTATATTATTTTTCCTTCTTGTATATATAAATTTTAGCACGCGCCAATTCCATTTTGATAATAGTACCCAATTTAGCTAAAGCATTGTCTTCCTAAATAATAAGATAATTAGTTATACGGAAAAGGCAAGCAAGCCTAAGTGGCTTCGGAGGCGTCATGCATGTAATTTCGCGTTGACGCCAAAAATATAGCGTTGATGCCAAAATTTCAGCGTCAACGTCCAAATTATTGCGCGAACGATAATTTTTTGGCGCAAACATTAAAATTCTAGCGTGGACGTTCCAAAATCTTAAAATGTATATAAAGCTTTGAAATTCTAATAAAGACAAGAGAGTTCCAGGTCCACTTTTAATGACCAAAAGTAATAAAGTAAATACATATCTCCTGTAAATTTCGACTTGTAACTTTAATAAACCTTCATAACTCAATTCGACGGACTGAATTGCTTGTAACCTCGAACGTTTTATTAAGACTCGAAATTTTGTGTAACCGTCTTCGTACAGTCTCGGAACTTGGTCATGTGAATAGCATCTGGAAATTTTTTTGTTCAAGGAAAAGATTAGTTAGAAAGTAAAGTAATACCGCCCATCTCCTTTGGCATCACCAGCGTCAGTTGATTTTGAAGTATAGGATCTATAATCCCAGATGCTTAATAACTAAGCATCATTATCAATATCAATCAACCCCCACCTTTGAAACATCGATGACATATCAGAATATACCGATATCATTTCCCGAAGCATTTTAATTCATTAATTATCCATCAAGTTTTGGTATTATCGTCCAGATCATATTTAAATTGTTCTTTAGACCGATTCGTCCTTCAGGTCCATTTATCATTATATAAACATCCATTCCCGTACTCGGTTGGAGCTTTAAATTGGCCCATTGTACATAATTGTTTATTTGCTCTCCCAGACAACCGTTACAATATAAACGTTATTGACTGAAAATTATGATCAATAGGGATCACACCTTTTTGCAAACCGCCATAAATTGGCCAGCTTTAGCAATCGCGATCGCAATCACAATCATTTATTGCGCTTTGCAAAAGATGTGATGTGACTCCAATGGGGAAATTAAATAAGTGTAAATCTGCAAAAATCTGTATTTTTGCAGATTTTTTGCAAACAATCTGTGAAAGTTTCTAGAATTTGAAGTTTTTTACAGAATTGTATTTTATTTCTGCATATATTGTTATTATTTTGAAGTTTTGCGCGGATTTTCATTTGATTTATTATTTATGGCGGTTTGCAAAAAGGTGTGACCCTGTGATTTCGTGATGATGATAGCGGAAAATTTCTTAGATTTAATTCCCAATTGATCATAATTTTCAACCAATGACGTCTATATTTTATACGGAATCTTTAAAATTCTCTAAGAAACGAAAAATCTACTAGAATCAGCCGATTTCTCATAATTTTACATGACATTATGATATGCAGAGGTCACACCTTTTTGCTATAATCTAATTACAAAAGTCGCAAAATTATGCAAACCGCAGTAACCATGTGCCACCTTAGCATATGTATACCCTTAAAAAATGACAATCGATTTTGCAATCGGTTTCCACAATAGGTGCTAATCGTATATAGGGATATAAAATTTTGAAAACAGCGATAATAACCCTAGAGGTCACAAATTTGCAAAACGCAATAAATGGTGTACGCTATTTACGTCTATAAAAAGCAATTGACAAATTATTACGGTTTGCATAATTTTGTGACCCCCTATGATTATTATAATAATTATTTTATAAAATTATTAAAATGATATTGATTGCGATTTCGCCAGTTCATTATAAATTGGCCGGGTTTAGCTATCGAAATCGCATCACAATCAGTGTTATAAATTCGAAAAATTTTTATTGACGAAAGAGCACACATATATATAAAGCAAAATTATAATACGCGCAGAAAGCGTCAATCATATTCAACAAAATATGTGCGTTCTGCAAAAAGATGTGACCCCATGAGTTTTGTGATGATAAAAGAGGAAAATTTCCGAGATTCTAGATTGTCTATTAATTCATATTTCCTATTATAGCGCTTTGCAAAAAGATGTGACCCCATGATTTTTGTGTTGATGAAAGAGGAAAATTTCCAAGATTCTAGATTGTCTATTAATTCATATTTTCGATCAGTTATATTTATATTTTTTTGAAATCGATAAGATTCTTAAAATCTACAGAATCTCTGATTTTCACACGACATTGTGATCTGCAGAGGTCACATCTTTTTGCAAAGCGCAATAGTTATATTTATATTTTTTTGAAATCGATAAGATTCTTAAAATCTACAGAACCTCCGATTTTCACGCGACATTGTAATCTGCAGAGGTCACATCTTTTTGCAAAGCGCAATAATGCAAAAAAATAGTTGAATAAAAAAATGGTCAGGATGTTTAGGATAAATTTAGATTTCGAAAAAAAAACCACAAACTTCTAACTTATTGTAATTAAGTTTAATAGTAATTATTTTAATATTCTTAATCCATATATTATTTTAGAAATCGATAGACATACAACGCTGTATAGTTGAAAATTTTGTCATTAATAAAGAGTGAACTTTCAAGAATTTTTTCTTTCTGAGAGATACAAATACGAATAATGTCTAGGGAAATACATAGGTGGTATAGTTCAATTAAAATAAATCTCATGGGAGTAACGTCTAGCAAATAGTAACAATAAAGTATGACTTCTACTCGAATATATAATAAAAATAATTAATGAAGGATAGTATATAAGTTTCGCTAGTATAAAGTTTCACCTGCTTTATAAATTTCGTTTGATTTGAATTCTTTTTTAATCACATAAACTAACCAAACATAAAACTTCTTTATCTTAGAATAACTGTCTTTTATGTTTCCATAGTATTACCAATATTTTGAAACCTATAATTTTCTCGCTTAAGGATAAGGTTAATTAACTTTTTCCATGTAATTGGAGTATAAAGAATAGTAATTGTTCCTCCAAGTTTTCCAATTAATTTCTCTGCCAATTCACTTTCTTCATTATTTGGAAATACTATAAAGATTATTACTAAATTATTACTATTCATTTCTAACTTTCTTAAGTCTGATATTACTTTCATGACATCCTCTTCATTATTTTCATAAAGCCTAATGAATACTATATCATAAACAGATTGATTATTCAATTTATATTTTTTTGCTGCTTTAATACCTTTATCAAAAGTATCAAATGCATCAACTTTTTCGATTTTTTTAAGATATTTTAACATTGAATTTCTTGCATCCTCGACTGGATGAATTATTAGTATTCGTTTTTGTTTTATAACTTGAGGTAATATATAGCTCATTTGATCAATTTGTGTACTTAATAATGAGGATGTGATTGATAGTAGCTCGATATTCCAAGTAAACCAAAATTTACTTCCTTTCCCTAGTTCACTTTCAACATCAATTTCTCCACCATTAATTTCTACTAAATTTTTACAAATTGAAAGACCAAGCCCTGTACCATCTTGCGTCTTAGTTATTGACATGTCACCTTGTGAAAAGCTTTTCCAAGCATATTTTATATATTCAGGACTCATGCTATTTACATTATATTAAATAAACCATTATACGTATTAGATTAATTACATGCTAATATATAGAATGCATAATGTAAAGTACATTAATCATAATATTTTACCCAATGCCAGTATCATATAATTCAATCAACAAATTTCCTTTTTTAATAGCATATGTTGGTTTGCACTTGCCTTCATCAATGATTTCTTGTGGTTGCATTGAAACTGTTAGTACGATTTTACCTTTATTGGTAAATTTTACACTAAAAAAAATTAAGAGTAAATTATTATACAATATGTATTTTATGAAAAAAAAAATAAAAAATGTGTGTAAAAATAAAAAGTTACGAATTTGATAATAAGTGTGATAGAACTTGTTTCAGTCTATTTTACAATAATAAGAAATAATGTAAGTAATAAATTTCTATTATATATATATTTATTTATTTATATTTATATTTATATAAAATACATTAATTCAATTACCTATCAGGATCGCTCTTAATATATTTTGGCAACATATCCATTTCGCAATTTACAATTAATTCAATCTTTTTAGCTCCGGCTTTTTTTTCAAATTCATCAATTGTACTCTCAAGCAATTCTAATAAGTCAAATGTTCTATTCATTAGAGCAACTTTTCGTGCTTCCAATTTTGCTGCATCCAGAATATCATTGACTATGGATAAAACTATATCAGAAGCGCATCCCATGATATTAATCATGTCTCTTTGATCAGAGTTTAAGTTGGTATTTTCGAAGGAAGAAAGTATGCCCACTAGTGCTCCTAGTGGTGTTCGTAATTCTATGATAAGAAATAATGATTAAAAACTAATTAGAAAATGAAAATGTTGATACCTAATAATGTAATACACAATAAGGATGATAATAATATATACCATGAGAAGTATTTGCTAATATTTGACTCCTAGTCTTATTTGCAATTTCAATAGCTTTTATTTTAATTTCATTTTCAGCATTCGCTTCTAAAATCTTTGCTTGATTAATAATTATACTTATTTGATTTGATATTTGTTGTAATAATTCAATTTCAGAATCGAGCCAAATAGAATTTGGAGCCCTATGTAATTTTATCCAAGTATTATTCGACCTTATTTCTACAGATAATGCTGATACATTTTTACCAACATAATCACAATATACATCTAAACATATATCTATTTCTAAATTGTTATCTAAAAATTCTTGTGAATTTTGTGAATTATTTTTATCACTACTTTCAGTAAATTGATTAGTCATCGATGTTATACTTTCCGAGCCTTCATATACAGCAACTATTTTATTATTCTCAAATTTAGACTGGTCGTTTGAAACAATAAATATTCTTTCACATGGTAATTTACGATGAATTTCTTTAATAATATATAACAACGTTTCATTTAAATCTAATCCAGAAAGAATCTTATTTGATATTTCAAATAGTAATTGCTTTATTTCTTCTTGTTTACTTTGTTGTAATGATATTTTATGACGAAGAATTGAAAGCTCAATATTAACTCGGATACGGGTAATTAGTTCCTGAGATGAAAATGGTTTTGTTAAATAATCATCTGCTCCTCTATTCAGACCTAAATTTGAAAATTATAATTTTTATGAAAGAAAAATAGCTATTAATAGCAAACACATTATTTAATAATAATTTTTAAATTACCTTCAATATTTGAATCTTCACTAGCTTTGGCAGATAATAATATTACAGGAATCAATCGAGTTTTTGCATTTGATCTTAACACGTCCAATAGCTCATATCCATTCATATTAGGCATCATAATATCTATTTAATTCAAGAATAATATATAATAATATATAACTCAGGAGTTATTAACATTATATTATAAGATATTAAACCTAAATTACTTACCACTAAGAATTAAGTCAGGCAATATGTCAAGTTTTTTCAAGATTTGTATAGCATCTCGGCCGTCATAAGCACGATGTACATCAAATTCTCTTAAAAGTACTGCTAGATAATCTCTATAAACATAGTCAATAATCAGAAACGATTTATTTACAAAAAAATAAATTTTTAAAAAAATTACTACCGCATATCGTTATTGTCCTCAACAAGTAACACTTGATACTTTTTCTTATCAATGAAATCATTATTTTCTGGTAACATTTTGTCAATATATATGTTTTGATCTTTAATTGATAATTTATTTTTCATATTATGTTGAACTTCAGACACACTATTTCTTATCCATTGAGAACTTTCTTCTAAATAAAGCTGTCGATTAGTGTATAATTCTCGATCATTATTTATTGGATTTTTAACGGTATTAAATTGTATTTTATTCTTTGGCAAGTGCTCACATCCTATCGGAAACCAACATTTAAATGTCGTTCCCTTATTTACTACAGAAGTTACAGTGATTTCTCCGCCATGATATGCAATAAGCTCTTTGACAAGAGCAAGCCCTATTCCAGTACCTTCATGACTACGCGAATTTTGAGATTCTATACGATAAAAACGTTTAAATATATTTGGAAGGAATAATTCTGGGATGCCAACACCTGAATTGTAATGACATAATTAATGATAGTAAAATGGCTACAAAATCTAGTTAAATAAGTTAATTTAATCTTTTTTTTTATTAATAAGGAATATTTATTAACCTGTATCTGACACTTCAAAAACGATCATCTTTTTCTTATCTTTGTAATCAGGGTATAAACGTATAGTTATACTCCCATTCCAAGAATGCTTCAGTGCATTCGAACCTTTAACAAATAAAATATTTTAACACAATAAACTCTAAATGTTTTAATTTTGTATTATAAATTATATATACTGTACATATATTTAAGTAACATATTTTTCATAATTTCATATATATTTTAGGAAATACTTACAAAGATTAAATACAATAGTTTCATACATATCATGATCCAAATATATTTTATCACCTATGGCTTGATTAAGTTCATCTGAAGATGGAATATCAACAATATAATCCAAACTGAATGTTTTGGCCATACTTTTAAAATCAAAAACTAATTCTCGAGTAAATTCAGCTATGTTTGTTTCACGATAACTTGATTCTAATTTATCAGATTCTATATTTGAAAACTGTATAAAAAATTATATTCTTTAATATAATAGTTCTTTAAATAACTGCAAATGTATTAATTATTTAAACTTAATAAAATTTCAATATATAACATATAACTCACTTGTAACAAAGTATTAATAAGTTTAAGCAATCGATGAGCGCTACGTCGTATAATTTGAAGATGAGACATTATTGGCTCTTTTTGCGGACAAGAATTAATTACGTCATCAAGTGGTGAAAGCATTAAAGTTAATGGTGCTGGCGTAATGAAAAAATAAAATAAGGATTGTCTATTAATGCAATCAATATATTTATGAAAAATATAATTTTTATGATAAATCAATACTTTTTAATTCATGGCTGATGCCTTGAAAAAATGAGATTTTCTGATGATTTAACTCAGTCAATGTTTTAGACCGCTTTTTTTCCTCTTCAATTGATATTGCATGTAATAAAAATGTATTCATATGATTTGCAATTAGCTAATAAAATTATAACATAGTAGTATTTAATTATTTTTTAATAAACAATTAAAAGAAAATCATAGAACTTTTACATACTTTTAAAAATTCCATATATTTCTCATCAAGTTTACGGCGTCGATTAACACCACAAATCAGTATGGCTGATAAAACATTTCCTTCGCTGAGAGAAATTTTTGTCAAGAAGAGTACAGTCTGTGATCCATCTTTTAAAAGAACCCTTACATGACCACCTTCCTTTATTAAAAGGTGTAATGGCCAAGAATCACATTCTAAGAATGAATTTTTTGTAACTTTTCGATTTAATTCAAGATATGAATTGTCAACGTCTTCAGTTAAGTCAATTATTTCCGGAGTTTCAGGTAAATAATCAGGAAAGATCCATCCTTTTTCATAGTCATAATCAAAGGTTGTAGTAATTAGACGAGCAACCAGAGATTCAGAAGCATTATTTAATTTACGTTTGACAAAATAAATTAATGCATAAGGAATATCTGCGTTATTATCAGTCAGTACTTTTGTGATAATGTGGCATGCATTTTTTAAGGACTCGACCTCTTCAAAAATATTAAGTTAATACAAGAATAAGTTAATTTACTACATTGAATACTACAATAAGATCATAAACATATATTTATAGTTTTGAATTACTAACCAGAAACCCGACAACCAAACTCGCCAAGTATTTTAAATCTTCGACCAATCAAAACTCTTTGAGTAATTTCTTGAGCAAAAGTAAGTACAGCACAAACGGTTCCATCAGATTTAAGAATAGGACTAAATGTATAATTAAAGTACGCTTCTTCTATATACCCATCACGTTGTAATTCGAACAATACATCCTTTTTAAAAATGCCCTTTCCAGTTACTCTTACACTATTAAATTGTAATTTCAAAAAATTTTATTAGGGTTTATATTTTTAAAAAGAGATACCAGGTTTCAGATTCAGAATCTCAGCTTCGGTAAATTTCAGATTTAACTAATTTCAGTTTCAATTGCAACAATTATTACACAACTTGCCTTTCTAATTCTGAAGAAATAATTTCATAAATTTCAGGCCAAACTTCTTTAACCGTTTTTCCTAATGCTATTTAACATTTAAAGAATATTAAATTTATAATTTTTATTATAACATATTATATAAATTATTTAATTAACCATATGGGTGTTTCGTTTTTAATATTGGGAGATACGCTATATATAAACGGTTAGAAATGGTTATTTAAAGCTAATAAAGTAAACCAAATAAAGTAAATTTCAAAAAACTTTTTTACCTTCATTATATAGAAAGGTCCAATTGGGACAGATACAAATACAAGCGGGAAATACAGATTGAAGGGATAGGTTCTGAATTGGCATCATCGGTTTTTTTTTGTTAATTACAGTATATAGGAAATTTTATGCTTTTAAATATATATATAACAGCAAATCACCACAGCGTTTTTGAGAGAAGAATCCCATAATTCCATAGGGCCAAGTAAAGTTGATGACCAGTCATAATTGTAGACCGTACTAATAAAGCTTGAGTTTTCATTCTCAATGCTACTGTTGTAGGTTGACATCTAAACTAGAAAGGAGTGGAAAAAACTACAAAAAAAAGATAAGTCATTGAAATAAGTAGGCAATAGTTAAAAGAATATTTGCGTAATTTTACATACTAATTATACAACTAATTATTTATAAAATTTTTTTAGCATGTAGTTAAAATTTAGCAATTTTGATTTAATGTTTAGACTTTTATAGATTTAACTGGCTGGACCTGTATACATGTATACAGTACGTACTACAAATATTGTCATTGCGTGTTCCGATCATTGAATTAATAAAATTTATTAGAATGTGCAAATATGTACTAGACTCTTATACAGCATATTAGCCAATTTTTCAATTTCAAATTTGATGTACAGTCTTCCCTCTCTATAATCACACTGTCGGGATCATAGTAACTTTTTTTAAAAAATGTGCTTATACAGTATTG